AACACCCAAAAATCATCCGTTAACGGTTAGTGCAATGTTATCCCTGAATTAAGCGTTTGTGTTCAATATTCGCAGTAGTAAATCGCAGTTCGCAGGTAGTATTCGATTCACACTCAACCCTACATTAGCATTATTAGCTCGATAGGTCGGGCGCTCAATCTGCGTCGCCACTGCTAACGCCGGTCTACAGTATATTCAGATAAGAGATAGACCGGACATAAACAAGACCACGTGATCATCGAACGCTGTAACATTCGGCAGGGACGTATTAAGAGTCACGCAGTACATATTTTAGATAGTAGATGCTGCTTTGCGTAACTTTGTAGTAAATTAGCACAATTCGATGTGTATACGATTGGTGATGGATATAGGATCATTTGGGGGTGGGGTAAGAAATATATAATGATGTAAATATACATAAGGGTTTCAAAATTTTCGCTTCGATTTCCAGCTTCGGATGCCGCCTGATGTTTGGTGAAATACAGTCGAATATAATCTCAAAATGGCGTTTAAATTAGCCTAAATTAAAAATAATCGTATATCTCTTAAAATTGCTTTTAGAATATTGATTAGTATATTTTTTTGATTTCTAGGTAAATATGTAACCAAATTAAAACGTTCAAAACGTAAAAAAAATGTGCATGGTTGAACATTGTCAGAAAGTAGATTCTTGAATAGGTTTTGCCAAAATGGGTTCAAAAATGTCAATAATTAATTAAAAAATACAGTAGCTTTATAATTACTTATAACTTACCGAATTTGATGAACGACATCTTTTATTGGAAAGATGAGCTTGATGAGCTTTCATCATCGCTACTGCCTGAAGCACCAACGTCAATAATGAATGGCTCGACTTGTTCCTCTAAAATATTGTCCAGTTCCCACATTCTCTTTTCAACTTTGTCTTTCACGTGCTTAATACAGTTTTCCCATTTTTGCGCTGTTATTAATTCTAGTGCTTCTTTGAAAAGTCCTTTGAGGTCACAAAATTTAAAAGTTGTATTGTGCTTAGCTATATAATTTTTAACCTCTGCCCATATGAGCTCAATGGGATTGAGCTCGCAATGGTATGGAGGTAAACGGAGCACAGTTTTATTTTGACTTGCTGCCATTTCGTCAATGGCGTATTTTTGATATTCCGCCTTGTGATCCTTGACAATTCTTAATAATTGTACTTTCAGCATTGCTTCTTCAAAATTGATATTTTTCGAGCGGAGCCAATTTTGAACATCAACTTTCCTTGAAGCCGTTGTTGGGACCTTCTCCATTCTTCGAGAATGATAAGGCGCATTATCCAACACAATTACTGCGTTTTCCTCTAAGTTTGGTAAAATTTTTGAAAACCACTGCTCAAACGATTCGCCATTCATTTCCTCGTGGTAATCTCCAGTTTTCTTAGACTCAAAGCACCACAGACCGTCAACAACAAATCCATCCTCACTGCCAATATGGCAGATAATGAGCCTTTTCCCTTTACCTGGAAATCGAAGTACTAACTGGTGTAGATTTATTTCAATAAGCGAACCTTTTTCAAATGTTTTCATCACATTCAGCGAAAAAACATTGAGACATGAGTATCAGATTGCTATAATTGGGATTATTTAGTCATATTGAAAGAAAGAATATTGAACGTCGTATGATTACTCAGCGCTTCACAATTTAATTTAAAGTTATAAACCTTTAAAAAATGAATGATCAGGAACCTGAAATACGCGCAAATATTAATATTAACAAATTATAACTTTATAAAGCTTAAAGTATGAATTAAAATGATTAGAAATATTAGGAACGGTACACAATATAAAACTTAGTAACTTTTTTTAAATTTATAATATTCGACATATTTTTAGATTATATTAAAAAATTATTGAAATATCGAAAACACATAAAAACATGGCTTAAAAAAGTTCTAACAAATGAAAATGACAATAAAACATCCACGCATTTTATCGAAAGTTATAAAAGTTTTGTTACTTGTAATATGTTTTATCTGCCCCCTGGAATTAATGTTTAGAACCTTGTTCCCAAGGTTTGAAAAACATCCGATTGTTGTCTATTACTCGTATTTACCTGCTGGATTTTTTAATCCGGTGGACAGTCCATCTAGAAAGGCCCTCCTGGATGAAGTTACAGAATCATCAACCCATACTTTACTTGTAGTGTGTCCTGCGTTTACCCACGTTTCATCAAGGTAATAAATCTTCCTGTTTTGATTTCTATAGGTATTTCCCAATTTTTGTTAAATAATCCCTCCTCCATAGCACAATTTCTTCTCTATCCAGTAGTAAACTATTACGACCCCGTTTTTTCCATTTGAAATTTAAATGCTTCAGTAACGCATGGAAAGTTGATCGTTTGAAATTTGGCAACGTTGTATCTCCATTTACCTCTTGCAGTACTTTATCTATAGTAGGTATTTCATTCCTAAAGAAGAATTCATGCACTTTCCTCCTAATCGCATGCTTATTAGCTTCATCCAATGATTTAACAATACTTTTGCGATGTTTACTGGTCATTGGCTCAGAAAAGGTGTGATTTTTTTTGTATTGTCTTAACACATTAAACACTGATGCGCGACACACCCCAACTTTGTGAGAAACCTTCACAACAATTTCTTTGATGGTTGATGCCTCGTTCTCCTCGCGCTCGATCTTATATATATTCAAAATGACCTCTTTCATTTCTGCACTCAGGTGTCTTTTTTTAGAGCGTTTCCTAGGTGGACTACAGGAGTTTACAACTTCATCGGCAGTATCTGTACTACTGGGCATTTTGCGCAAGCAGATGATAACAATAACAATCAATAACAAGGTATAACAATAACAACGACAAACTCAACAACTTAATAAGATAAGAAACGAAAACGTCCAAAGAAATATCAAATTGCAATGATGCACACGACATACGTAACACGTCTGAACCTGAATGTGACTCTGCCTTGATACGACTGCTCTGCCGCTCGGCATAGGCAATTGCAATTGCGAATTGACCAATGAGGGCTCCTGTTTTACGTCGAGACGGCGGCGTTAGCGTGAAAATCACCCGAACCTTTTGTTTACATCCGGTCTATCTCTTATCTGAATATACTGTAGTCTAATCCCGTCATCACAGTTCACAGTATTTAACTGCTAAACAAATAGCTGCTAATTTTGAATCGCATAGCAGTTAAAATTTTATATACTAGATAGCAGTTAAAAAATAGCAGGTTGCTATTTAGCAACACACGTCTAGTCTCTAGCCGTATCTCTTCTTCAAGGCGTTCAACTATTTGTGGCTTGTTCGGACACACCTTTTCCTTCACATAGCCCCAGAGAAAGAAGTCCATTGGCGTTAGATCGCATGATATTGGTGGCCAACTTTGATCGCCAAACCGAGAGACGACACGGTCTGGAAACTTGGTCCGCAGTAACACCATTGTTTCGCCTGCTGTGTGGCAGGTCGCACCGTCTTTTTGGAAGAACATATCCTCCACATCAATTCGATCCAACTAGGGTCACAAAACCTCGGTTAAAATTTTGCGATACCGCACACCATTAATAGTTACCGCAGTTCCAACTGCATTTTCGAAGAAATACGGTCCAATCACTCCGCCACTCCACAATGCGCACCAAACGGTAACTCGCGACGGATGCATTGGTTGTTCGATTATTACACCAGGGTTTTCAGAACTCCAAATTCGGCAGTTCTGAATGAAAATGATTTTCTTCGAGAAATCGGCATCAATTTGGTGGTGCTTCTGCGCCCAATCAACGAATTCATGGCGCTGCGCATGGTCCGTTGGCTTGAGTTCTTGTGTCAGTTGAACCTTGTACGCATGCAAGCACAGATCTTTTGTCAAAATGCGTCGCAGAGTGGGTCTGGTAAAGTTCAATTCTTGGCCGCGATGCCGAACGGAAGTGCCTGGATTCTCGGCCACACTTTCCCGCACTGCGGCTATATTTTCGAGGGACCGACCAGGACGGCGACGAACAGTGGTCTTCACAATCAGCAACGTGAATTTTGTCTCAAATTTTGTAATTAAACCGTGAACTGTCGACTCATTTGGCGCATTATAGCGACCGAAAATGGTACGTAATTTGCGAACTGTTTCCGCCTAATTTTCTTAATTTTTGTAGTGAGTTTTAACTATAATTAAACGTTGCTCGTTGAAATACTGCTAGATGACGTCTGATCTCGTGATCTAGACATGACAACTGTCATCAAGTAAACACCATACCATTTGTACAAAAAAAAAATGTCGGCAAATTCAAATCAGGCGCTCTTGTTGAGACTCCCTTTATAAACTCACAAGGAGAAAAATGAGACAGAGTAAATAAATATGAACATTAACATATACGGGAACTAAAATAAATAACAATTAATATGAATATTGTCACGACTGTGACGTGGGGGCAAGTTTGTTCTGAGTTGAGCAGACTCGCTGGTTTAGAGGCTCAAATGATGCCACAAAAAAATATCAAAGTGTATCAATAAAACGCCGCGCAAATAAAAGTACCATAAAATGAAACAGGTACTTACTTTTTGGTCCAGGACGGTCAAGTCCCTCGAAAAGAGATTCGCCCCGAATGATGCTAGGACAGGAACTATTCCATGTAGGTCCTGTTTTTATAAACGTTCGAACCCCCACCGGCCGCGAATAATAAACCTTTGCATATTGTGCATTATTTGCCGACAATGTGCTGCACAGTTCTCAGCGGATGCGGTTTCGGATATCTATCGAACTATATGGGGTGATCACTCGTGGCAATATTGACAAAAGCATATCGCAATGCTTTTTTGTTAGTTTTTGCGTTCCTCGTGGAGAGCATTAATAATCAGTATTAAAGTAGTATTTACTTTTAGTATTTTACAAGGAGTATTACACGATTTAGTTCAGTAACAAAAGAGGAACAGAGGCTTGAAATTCAAATTTTTCTAACCTCAAATTACTTATTTGACCAGTCGGCATCGTCAGTCGTATCTATGCAAGCTACTCTTAAAGAATGTAGCTAGATACTCACTGTGGAACTTCATCTGGTTCAGGTATATTTTTAGATACTTTCAATGTTTTTAATATGGGCCACACCTGAAAAAATTAAATAAGAACAAATTGTTTTTATGAATTACAGCAAATATAATACCTTTTCATAAAAAATAATTTCGGTTTCAAAAAAATCAGCTGATCGGAATGTGCGTTGTCTTGTTTTATTTTTCGGGAAACCCTTCACAATGATGTGAGATTGCATATCTTTCTTCTCTCTGAAATAACGTTTTATAATTATTGTCATTGTACCTGAAAAAGCTCACCATGGTGGCCAAAACATCGTACAATAAACATTAATAAAAACATATGTGGATCAAATTGGCTACCAGACAATGCATGCTGTTCTATCAACATTAAAACCACAGTATAGGTTTCAGGTGTTACATTTTGTTACTAAATTAAATCGTGAAATATTCCGCTTAGGGACTAAAAGTTAAGTAGTTATGCGATAACTTACAGGTTTTGAGAATAATGTCTGTTTTCATAAAGTTATTAATCACACTTTTCGAGGGTGATATCCGCTTTATGTAAACAGAAGTTATTATTAAAACATGCAAGTTATCACAGAGCTATTTGACTTTTATGGCACTACCAGGAATAATAGATACACGATTTAGTTTAGTGACAAAAGTGAAATATTTGCTTGAAATTCAAATTTGTGTAACCTCAAGTTGCTTGTTTGACCAATCGTCGGTATATTGGACATTATTGCCAATTTTATCTAGGCATAGCAGCCTTATGAAAGTTCAAAGTTTTTCCAGATTGGCAGCTCTGTGCCACTGTAGTGTATATTGTGTAGGGTAAATGTGCCAGTAACCCGGACACTACTAGTAGACGGACAAATGTTATATTATTGGTAAAAACTTGAATATTTGAAATCCTATTATACTTGCTGGCAATTTGTACCAGATTTATTAACTAATTTGTGACAGTTTACAAAAAATCATATCCACAGTTGTTTTAGTGACAACAGTATTGGCACGCATGCATACGATTCCTCAATTTTTGTCATTTGTGTAGTGAGTGACATAAACTTTAAGGCAGAAAATATATAAATAATGTCCTTGTTACATATGCAGAAGACAGTCAAAATTTACGAAATAAACTAATGTTAATATGTTATTTTAACATTTTGAGGTCAAATTGGAGTGGCCCCTGATTGGATCACTACTAAAAATCCAATAGTCGGACACTTGTTCGGAATAAAGGAAAAAATTAGTTTCTTGTTCATTTTTACCTAGTTTGAATCATTCTTGATAAACATAATCTATATTAAATGGACTCAGTATGAGTGTGTTTAATTTATTTTCCTCCAAGTCTTAATTACAGCTGATTTGAAATATCTATTCTACTATCTCCCACATTTTTAAATACGGTCACAGATACGGTATACGGTCCCTGAAGTTAGCTTCAGATTCAAATTCGAATTTGCCGATACGCTAGAAAAATGGTATTTTCAGCTACTGAGGGTTGCCTTATATTAAATAAGACTGTTACACAAATTATTCTAGATAATATCGCAAAGTTCGATATTACCAGTAGTGGAGTAAACGGGAAAACGAGAACAGGCACTAGTGTGTTATCTTAATAGGAAAAATACCAAAAATGATTTCTTAAGGTGAGTCCAGATATGTTCTTTTATCCGTACCGTACCCCCGACTCGTATCACCGTCGCGATCCAAGAACTCTGGACGCATAAATAATAGCCAGTATCTTCGTAACGTCGCTGCAATCACCACGTATCCATTTCTGTGAGAAGTGACGTCCGACTATGTCGTCGCCTGCAGAAGACTATGAGAATTTGGCGATTTCTTGCGCATGCTTCATTGTTATTCATAATATTATAACAACAGCATAAGTGGAAAATACAAAAACTTCACTCGCATGTCACCAAGCGACTTCGAATTCTTGATTAATTTAATTTGTCCAAAAATAAAAAAAGCAGATACCACATACAGGCGAGCGATTTCGGTACAAGAAAGATTGAGCATAACTTTGCGATATTTAGCTACAGGAGATTCTTATACCAGCTTACAATACCCATTCAGAGTATCCAAACAATCAATAAGCATCATAGTTCGTGAAACTTGTGAAGCTATCGTTGACGAATTAAAACGACTGATAAAGGTAAGTTTTTTTTATTACTTATAATAATAAATTGTACAGCTGTTGAAAGCTTAGCAAATCATGAAACGAATCTTCAGAGTCTTGTTGCATAGAGTACGGAGATCCTTGTTCATTATTTGGAGATAGACTTACACTCATCTCTGGCGGTGTAGTTGCAACCGTCTGCGGCGATAAAAAATGTGGAGATGCAGACATATGTGGTGGTTGAGTGGAATACCCACGTGAAACTGGTGCATTGTCGAATGCCCCGTTATCAGCATGAAATAGCAGGTTACCTATTTCATGCTGTAGGGCATTCTTCGTTCGTTGTGAGTAGGTCCTTAATTTGACAGCCAGATAATTTGCAAATATTTGGCTTTCGTCTAGGGAAGTAGCGGGACTGGAAGTAGAGATTACTTTCGCTGCGCTTGCATTAAGCACATCAAATGCTGACTGTAACATGTGCTGGTTTTGTTGGTCCATACTAAGAACCTTCTTCTTCTTATTACTCCCAACTGGAATTTTGAAAGTTGGCGTATTGTTGGACGACGGATTGATACAGACCGAATCCTCTGTGTTACTTGTTGCAGCCGTATCTTGTGTGTTTGAGGATTCGTCAACACTCTGCACTTCTTCCTGGAAAATAAAATTAAATGATCATAACCGTTTCTTTTCAGTTGCCAACTTCACCTCAAGAATGGTTACTTATTGCAAACAAGTTTCAAGAACGATGGCAGTTTCCTCACGTTTTGGGAGCTATGGATGGAAAACATGCAGTTCTGCAAGCACCCTTCAACAGTGGAACAGAATTCTATAATTATAAGCATTTCTTTAGTATTGTAATGTTCGCTTTGGTGGATCCCTCTTATAATTTTATTTTTGTCGATATAGGATGTCAAGGTAGGATTTCCGATGGAGGTGTCTTTAATGATTCACTTCTTAAACAAAAGATGGATGTTGTATCATTAAATTTTCCAGCCACACAGGCGTTGGAAGATACGAGAAAAATCTATACCATACTACTTTGTAGGCGATACTCCATTTCCATTAGGGATGCATCTTATGAAGCCCTATCCAGGTGTGCACCCTAAACGATCCCAAAAAAACATATTTAACTATCGACTGACCAGAGCTCGACGTGTTGTAGAGAATGCATTCGGGATATCCGCAAATGTATTTAGAGTTTTGAGACAACCTATGTTACTCCAGCCTGAAATAGCCCAATTGGTTGTGTTAACAGTGGCCCGCTTGCACAACTTTTTAAGGAAAAGTCAAAATTCAAGAAACATCTACACTCCACCTGGTAGTTTTGATACTGAAAATGATGGCCTATTTATACCAGGAACGTGGAGAAGTGACGATGATGAGACATCATTTTTACCGATAGCAAATGTTCCTCGCAGATCAACCTTATCAGCACAAACTATACGAAATGTACTCGCTGATTATTGTTGTACTACTGGAAAGTTGCCATGGCAAGATGGCATACCTTAAATTTATAAATGGAAATACCTATATCAAAAATGTAAAACTTACCGTATTTAGCCTTTTCCGTGGCTTGTTTCTGTCCAACAGAAACGGTAGATGCTTGAATGGAAACCAGGCGGGAATGTATACCTCTTCAGAACCTCGAACAAAGTTAAATTTTATTAGTATTGATCAGTTTTGTGTAGATGCATAAACTTGACTTTCTAAATCAGACAATTAAGTTCTATATATACATATATAATAAGTACATTGTAAATAATAAAGAACATTTATAAGTAAAATATGTATATTTTTTTATTACACGCTTACCTTTGCCAGTGCCTTCTGATTTTTTCATTTTCTTCCGTCGCAACGCAGCCAGTAAAGCATCCATTTTCTTTTTCAATTTGCCGACATCGCACTTCATTTCAACAGACAGTTCCTCCCATGCCTCTTGTTTTATGTTTTTATTATAATAGTTCTTGTTTCCGGGATTCCATAAAACTTCTCTGGTCCTATATCCATCGATAAGCTTCACGGTGTCATCGTTATTCCACTGCATATTTCAAAATCGATACTACTTGAGGTGTGAAAAAAAGGAACGGCCTCGCTGGCCACGATCTCGTCCAGACTGCCGCGTACACCGTACCGTGTCGCCTTTGAACAGAACGAAAAAACCGACTCGTGATGGATCAGAGCGTACCTGTATCTGTATCGAGACGCCGTATTACCGTACCGCACCGAACATCCGTCCACACTACCGTTCTTGGATCGCGACGGTGATACGAGTCGGGGGTACGGTACGGATAAAAGAACATATCTGGACCCACCTTTACATGACTACTATTATTAGACCTAATTGTACTACCGCTGTAATTACCGCATAAATGTTAAACTAAATTAAAACTAAAACTAAAAACAACACGTTTGTGTCGGGAGTACATATAAAACTAAAAAACCCGGAGAACCCAAACGAAGAATTGTGCTACCAACAGACTCATATATGTTGTAGAGACCTGATAGGAGTACATATTTATGGCATAGCTTTGCGAAAAATCAGGGGACTACGGGGTGATTCTGCGTGTACAAGGCTTCACTGCTTAAAACAGAAAAACGAAGAATTGTGCCACCAACAGACTCATATATGCTGTAGAGACCTCATAGGAGTACATTTTTATGGCATAGCGCTGCGAAAAATCAGGGGAAGTAGATGAGCTAAGGGGATTGAGTCTCACTAGTTTTTAAATCCGCCGCTAGAGGCGCTGCACAAAACCTAACGAAATCTGTAAAAACATCATGTGGCGTCGACCTTATCGCCTTATCAGTGTTGTTGTGTTCGCCTGCGGTTATGATGATAGTAAGGTGTAGTATACAGGGGGAGCCAAAAATGTTTTATACAGGGTGAGTCAAAAGGTTGGTAGAGAGAGAGAGAGAGTGAGTGCGGCGGATGATGTATTGGAGAGAGATAGAGATAGGATGACGTCATGCGCCATTGATGAGTAGGGGATCTCCCCGCTAGATGGTGATGTACACAAACGGAATCTGTATGTGTCATTGATGATTTGGGGATTCCACCGCTAGATGGCGCTGTACAAACTAAACGGAATCTGTAAGTGTCATTGATGAGTTGGGGATTCCGCCG